TGTGTTTTCTTAACCTTTACTTTGAATACACTTTTATTAATTATTCCATCCTCCAGTGATTATCCGTGATACGACGGACCAAACAGCACATTTTGAAGATATGAAGATCAAGATGTTGTGGCCTCTGGTATGGTCGCAGTCTCCTTTCAATTTATAGAAGTGAGTTGACCTCGTTGTCACAACTTGGTCTTGTTGTCAAGGGGACAATGTATACGTACCTAGTCCGAAGTCGTCTGCCATAGTAGTTGTCATGATTCCCAGCATCTGACAGTGGACTTGGTACATTGATTGACTTCACTTGTCTCTTTGACAAGTTCGTAGCTTGGCGCGGAGACTGGCAAAACTGATTGATGATGCCGACTACGATGCCGGCTAAACGTTTTAGAATGTATCAAGTCCACTGTCAGATGCTGGGAATCATGACAACTACTATGGCAGACGTCTTCGGACTAGGTACGTCCTATATAGTCGCCCTGACAACAAGACCAAGTTTCGACAACGAGGTCAACCCACTTCTTAGCACATTTTGTCTGGAATCGAAGGAGATTGATTTCAAAAGAGCGTCACCAAGAATGTAAAGCTATTTCCCAACTGGTCAGGAGGAGTCCGTTGTCGCCTTCTCGAGGCATTCACTTTTGAATCTCTTCACCAAACACTTTCACTTGAACTGCAAGTAATTTCAACCAATTCCTGGCAATCCGCTCGTGCTTTTTGTGGTCCTCATTCTGCGATTGCGACCCTATCCAATGTTGTCGCCTTTCTTCTCCCTTTTCAGCATTCCAGCAATAGCTTGGACTGCCGTCGCGGGAGAGCATCGTTTGACCGAGTTCCTGCGCTCTGGACCCGAGCCAAAGGTCCAACTGCGCAAGGTTAAAGAAGCCATCCACCATCCACTCTACCGGTCGGACGGATTCGATTATGATATCACCATCTTGGAGTTGGTGGATCCTTTTATCTTCGACAATTTGGTCCAGCCAATTTGTCTGCCCGACGAAGATGAGGATTTCACCGGACAAGTGGCCACGGCAGCCGGTTTCGGCAAGACCGATCTTGGCAAGTCACGAACTTGACTCTCTCGTTGACACACTGTATGCTTGGCTTTCGTATGAAACTGCTAATGCCATTGTGCTCGTTGGTACCGGTTTGTGTTTGGCTGTGTTGTGTGTTTGCTCACATGTGTGTGATATTGATTGTGTTTGGCTGTGCGTTCTTTTGTTGTTACTGTGTGTAAGCATGAAATAGCGAGCTTTCTCTTTGCCCAAACGTTATTGCTCGCTTTGTTGATTGTACCAGCAAACTCTCACACATAAAATCACTCTTACACACACACACACACACACGCATACACACACATTGCAACTAGCACTCGCATTCACAATCAGATTCACACTTGCACTAGCAATCAGATTGAGATTGAGACTCAAAATTCTACTCAAATTAATACGCACTCACACTCACACGCTAAAGCCCAAACACATAACAAAATCACAATAACTCCCACATTCGAACTCTCCTTAACATCTACACTTACAAACAACCTTGAAATAGCTTTTAGACTCAGAATCTTACTCCTAACCTCTCTCTCTCTCTCAGTATATCTCACACTACAAATCTAATTCACCATCACTATCACACTCATTCACATACACACTCACATACTTAAATTTGAATTCACCCTCACACTTACATTCACACTTGAACTCGAGTTTGAGCCATAATTCACTCACAATCACAATCACAAACATGCTACTCTCTCACGCAACATCAAAATCACACTCACACTAACGCTCAGGCCCATAAAAAGGCCGTATATGAAGTGGTCAAAATGCGATTGCGTTTTTCTCTCCTTTTCTCCTTTTCCACTTGAGACGGCTCGATGATGTAGTGATGCTGCGAAGAGATGTTATCCCGTTGTCTTTTCTACTGCTGCCTTGACTGTTTCCTTTTACAAATAGGCGAAGATGCAAGCAAAACTGTGCTGGCAGTGCATCTGCCCATCAGCGGAGCCCTCGAGTGTGCCGAGAAAAACTGCAAAGCCGATGGCAACTCCATTCGCGAGACAAATATCTGCGCCGGCCTAAAAGAGGGCAGTCGGGACACCTGCGTGGGTGACAGCGGAGGACCTCTGGCCTGCCTTGTGCCAGACGATGTGGGCCAGGAGAGGGTGAGTTGGGCATTTTTCCTCTCAGCTGTCTTCTTGGTTGGACAAACTGCTTTCTGATTGGCCCGTTGGCCGCCTGAACTACTGACCAATCAGACAGCTGGTCCCTTTCAAATGGTTGCTTAACCGGGTGCCTATTGGCCCATTTGCCCTTAACCAGGCTGTTTGTTTTTCCATCCATCAGGTATTTGAGTTATGGTTGAATTGCAAATGTGATCTCGCCTGAGGTCTACAGCAATTGCTAGTGATCCCGTGTAGTGGAGTCGAATCCAGGTGAAGAAGTTAATTTTTTTTGATGTGAAAGTGTGTAAGATGAAGTGATTCGTAGGTCGATCTCATCACGAGACGATGGTGGTTTACCGTTGATCTGCAGTCGTTTTATTTCACCATCACTTCAACAGTGAAACAGTGCACGAGACTTCTTCTTTCGGTCCGCATAAAAATGGGCAGAACTTTTGACTGTCGTGCTACTTGGCAACCAGCCTCATTCCTTCAACAGCTTCAAGTTGGCGCTAACTCGAGACATTAGTTGCGCCAACTATTTACAACTTGGTATAATTTCAGTACGCTTAAGTTTGTGTGGGTTTGTGTGCTTGCTTAAATATATGCATATATATATATATATA